AGAAAGAAAGAAAGAAAGAAAGAAAGAAAGAAAGAAAGAAAGAAAGAAAGAAAGAAAGAAAGAAAGAAAGAAAGAAAGAAAGAAAGAAAGAAAGAAAGAGAAGGAGGGAGGGAGGGAGGGAGGGAGGGATAAAAGTCTGTGCATATCCTGTTAACTTGGGTTGGGTGGAGTGGCCAAACTTCAGGGGTGGATCCTTGCTTTGCTCCTGCCAGACAGTGGCAGTATGAGAAGATAAGATTTTAAGCTTTCACTCTAAAGAAACCTTTATCATTGGGCTATTTTGCTTATTTACTTGTAAGCATCCCAAAATGTATCCACCAAATATTTTTCTATCAATACCATTTTAATCTCTTAAAGTACATATTGTACAACTGTTCAACAATTATACTTAAGGATGTTGTATATTCTTTCATAAATCAGGCAAACCTTGCACTTTATTCACCTACATTCATAATATTTCTTTGCTAATACCATATTTTCTAATGGTGTTTTTGTTTGTGGTTGTTTTTTGGTTGGTCAGTGAATATGTGTGTCTGTGTGTGTGCGTGTCTGCGTGTGTGTTTCTGCTGTGGTTTGATATTGAAAGTATTATATACCTAATTCCTAATTCATTTACTACAGTTTCAAATATTATTATATAGCGTAATATACTTTGTTATTATTTATTATAATAGTCATGTAATAAAAATTATTATTATTATACACAGTTAAACTAAATATGAGACAAGCAAACACTACCTTGTGGAAAAAGGTCACTTGATCATCATTTAAATAGACATTAATAAGAAAAATGCCCTGAAACACAACGAAAAGGAAACCCACACTCGATAGCTCTTTACTAATCTCCTGTTAACATCAAACAAAAATAATTTAAAACCTGCAGATTGTTTTTTTTTTTTTTTGATTCTATATATAGTTCAGGTGTGGTGGGTTATGTACGTTTCTTGGGCTGAAAACTAACTTAAACAATATTGTGCAATCAACAACTTGTTGGAGGTGAAGGGAGGAAGACAGGACAGAAAAAACTGTCCTAATATAGCATAAGATAAATAATTTTTACTAGTTTTATTTATTTATCATATTAGTATTAAACATAAAAATAAAATATATAAAGAATGTATAAAATTAAAATACAGAGCAGTTTGTTAGCAACAGTTAAATTAGCAGCATCATGTTTCCACTGGCAATGGACGTCGCTAGGGGTCATCAGAGGTTCACACCCCCGCGAGGACTTTTCCCAAAACATTCCGCCTCTACGTCACCAGCTCCCGCCCCGCTCCGCCTCGTGCCACAACGACTCCGGCTTGTCAGCTGCACGAGACGTGCGGCATCTCGTCTCAACCTATGAAAACTGTCAGTCAACGCTAACGTCTAGCTCCTCTCGCTTTAAACTTAAACGTATCTTCGCCGAATAGTGAAGAGCCGGAGCCTGGTTCTAACAGCGGGAACAGAGCCCTGTCACGCCTGCGTGTGTGAGAGTGTGTGCGCCTCCCCGGCGGCTGGCGCCCTTTGTAACTGAAGTAGTGAATGGTAAGTAGCTTTACTGCGTGGCTAGCTGGTAGCATCATCGCTACAGTTGTGTGTCATTCAGCGCTCAACAAACACTAATAGGCGGTAGAAAAGTTAGTTTCGGCTGGTCTTACTGCGGCTGTTACTCACTCTCTACCTCCGTGGCTGTTAAAGTGAGTTTTAGTTTGAAGTTGTCATTTCTCTCGTTGAGTTTTGAACCTCGTGATCAGGCCAGGGTCCAGCTTCTGGCTCCCTGCCACCACCACCTCCTCCTCATTATCATTATTGTGCTACATCTGCACATGTCCACCTCATTAAGAGACTGCCTGAGACGACGTGCGTTTGTCCCTAGTTAGAAATTAATGGTTATATTTCCAAAGTGTGTGTGGATAACATTCATCTTTGAGATTTTTGTTTTATCCTACCTTTATGGGGCTGTTTTGTTTTTGTAATCGTGTATTTTATTTGAGGTATTCTGTTGTAGGTTGTGTTTACGATGAGATCTACGTTGTTCTAAAAGCTTGACGTTTTTAGCTGCTATAACGTTGAATTCCAGACGCCTACTTATAAACTTAAATAAGTATGGTGTGACTCGGTGAAATAAAACAGAATACAATATGACAAACGAAATATTCCCGTTATATACAGATTAAAGTCAGATAAGTATAAACAGAAGAAAAATAAAACAGAAATAAAATTGCTTTCTAAATGTAGTGCAAAGATAACAAATATCAGATGACATTATAATGGATCAGTACGACCGAATGTAGTATGCATATTTTATCTGCTGTAATGTACTAATTGTATATCTCATCTCTTTTTTGTGTACTGACATTCAATACTTTATTTATTAAGGTGTCTTGAGCAATAGCATAAAATGATCACATTCTTTAACATCACATGTTTGATCGTGGTCTTTTAATCTTTTAATCCCCTGATGTTTGTTTTTTAAAGAGTTGCTTTCTTTTGTCATGCCATTACTTTTTGTATAAGGCCTTCTGTTTTCTCTGCCTGTTTTAAAGTGGAAAGAAAAAAAATAATTTGTTGTATTAATTATTAGTTTGAAGTTGGTGCCTGTTTTCTAACTTGTGGTAGATGAAATATTGAATGGCTTTCTCCATCTTGAAAGAAGAGGAAATAGATATGAGCAGGGGAAAGACAACATATGATGTTTTACTATCATGTGAAAAAGAAAGTACAGTGGTACATAAAGTCCTATGACAATTTTGTCACAGGACTGTATGTGCCTGAGACCACTTGTCCACTATTGACTCTTTCTTGACTTTAGGTTGTCTGTGGAACAAAAACACTAAAAAGTTCTGTAATTTCACCCTGACAGTCATGTGCTGTATTGTGAAACGAGCACTGCATGAAAAACCAGATTTTCAACCTCAAGATCACCTGCAGATCTAACCCAATCCTGGCAGTTAACAACTGGTCATGGTCTTTGATTAGAACCTGTAATTAGTAATATGAACGATGTTGAACTATCAAACAGAAAAGTTGCCTAACCCTCCCAGGTCGAGGCTTCTCAAACTCTACTTTTCTTTTATGTTATATTTTTATCGATTAGAAATGTTAATTTACTTTTATGGGGACACTTACACTCTGAGTAATTTAAAATATTAACTATAGCTTAATAGTGATTAATCAGATGAATCCTTACTTAAAGTAATTGATAGTTGCTGCCTTTAACACTACTCAGCTTGTGCACGAGTATACTGTTTTCAGTAATGCTCAGATTGGCGTGTCATCCTAATGAAACTGAAAAGACACTTAAGTCCCCTGTACAAAAGTGTCATTGTCCAGTCTTTGTAGTCACTCTGGGTGTTATGTGACTGGCTCCTCTCAGTCATAGTCGGGTATTTCTGCCAGGAAGCAGGTAATTAGTGACGTGACACGTATGCTATGACAGAAACTATGTGAGTTTGGTGTTGACAGCCTTGAGGCTGTAATGCAAGTCCAAACTGAGCTTTTAATAAACCTCTGTGAGT